TGTCCCAAAAATGTCTCGCAATCCGAAAGCGGCGAGTTCCTCGGGTCGTTTGAAGCAACTTTTTCCTTTACAAAAATTTTCTCCGAGGCACCGTTAACGAGTTATCAACGAAAAACAGTGACCAATGAGAGGCGAGCTCAGGTGGCGCGAGGCGATCGAGCCAATGAGCGGAACTGGGCTTCGCGCGCTGGTTGGCTGGGCCGCCTCGCGTCAGCCGTACTCGATTCTTATTGGTCACTGTTTTTCGTTAATAACTCGTTAACGGCGCCTCGGAGAACATTTTTGTAAAGGAAGAAGTTGCTTCAAATGATCCGAGGAACCCGCCATTTCCGGATTGCGAGACATTTTTGGGACACCCTGTAGACTGTTGTAAATCGATGCGAAGACAAAAGAAGTGTGAAACAGTGCATATGAAGACGATTATTTGGTTCAAACGATGAGCGAGTGAGCTACTAGAGCAAGCCACTATAGTGGCGCGTCGTCCAGAGAGATGACATCCGCGAAAGCCACTATAGTGGCGCGTCGTGCCTAAAAGGTTAACGCGGCTGATTCCCCCGCGCTCGCCGGAAATATTCGCGGCCGTTCTTCCTACGAATTCGGCCGGTTATACGGGCGGATCGCGCGCGGCTCGTCCGTAAAACTGGAAACTGGCTGGAAACCGAACTCCTTCCGGTGTCGGCTTTGGATCAGCTACCCGCGTCTTATTACATTTTTCGCGTTACGATATTTCACGCGAACGTGTTTACCAACCCGATGCATCATCCGTCTATCCGCAGTTCCATTATAGCGCGCGGCGCGCTACACGCGCGAAGCGGAGCGCCGCGCACCGCCAAGAAATATCCGACGAATGCAGCAGGTTCTTCTACTCGACGAAACGAATAATTTTGCTTCAACGAATGTTCCGCGACGGTCGCATCGACGTTTAATCCGGCGGGGCACGCGCGCGCAGCGTCCGGTGGACCGCAATGTTTAGGATAGGCATGCCTCTCGTGCTTAGGTTGTGTTAATTATATTGTATTGTGATTTGTTTCATTCGTTTGTTCGTTCGTGTAAACGTGTAAAAAAGATCCTTTGACGCGATGGATGAAATAGAAAGAATGAGATTTTATTCTAGCTGTCGTGCGGGTACAATAGAAAAATCGAATGTATGTATACATATATGTATGTGTATACACATACATACATGTATTCGATTTCTAAATTTCATGTCTTTTTATTAAGATTTTCTTTTACCTATATTTCTAGTATAGTATATGTACTTATTGTGGACGCTACACTTTTTTCTTATTTTTCTACTTACTTTGTATTATAATTATATAACGTTTAATACATCAAATATAAATTAATATATC